CAGTACAAGTGGAGTGCCAAGTGCACACGAACAGTACAAACAGGACTGATCATGCCATTGGTTTGTAACCACAGACAAGAAAGATCTGTCAAACACAAAAAGATTTGGGAGAAGGCTGCTACACTTTCCCTAATCCTTACAACAGAGCACTTGTGATACAAGCTTATGCTTTAATTGCTCTCACAGTATTGAGATTTATTCTAGTCTGCATCCTCTGAACAAATTAGTGCTTTGCCATTGCCATCAGTAAATGCAAGGTCAGACCTTAATACAAAATACTACGTGGTTTGATCACGCCATCTAAAAGCAAACACTGAAAATACTGCAAGACCAAACTTATTTTTGACTTAAATGTTTTCATGTTTGTTCAACCTTCCACATCACAAAACCAAACAAAGCTTTATTGAAATCAACCTTTGATAACCAAACTCAATTCTAAATATAAATTTAAGTAATGTTGAAACATCAGGTTTTCAATCAGCTGCCTATTAATGGATACACACCCCTTCAAAATAAACCAAGATTTAGACAGAAGCCTCTTTTGTAGATAACCCTAGTTTCAATTTACAAAACATTTTGCATAGCTCATTACATATTTCAGTCCAACAATTACAAGTCTTTCAAGACAGCACATATACTGAAGAGCTCCTTTGTTTCATATATAAAAGCTACTGTAGTCATCAACAGCTGCAAAGACAGAAGATGACACAAGCAGGAACAGACTGGTAAACTTTGTCCTATAGTTATAGCACTGTACATTTAATCTTAGAAAAGTTTTTGTTCATTGTAGCCTAATATCATTCAGCATTTTCCATTAAACAGGATCTCTGTCATCCTGCTCTCAGAGGAGAGCGCTTAGATATCAATCTCACCATTTACAGGGTGAGAAAATAGACACAGATGCCACATCTCAGAGAGCTATAATAAAATCAGCTGTTCTACTGTCTCAAAGTCTGGATACAAGAAGCCTCATCCCAAAGTAAAATAAAAACATAGCTCAAACTTTTGAGTTTTTTTTAAGAAAAACAATCCTGTTTCTGAATTCTGGATTTCATCATTTAAATGCCGTGTTAGGAGTAAGGCAAGTCACAGTTCATCTATTTTAAGATAAACTTTACAAATATGGAAGTCATTGTTTCTATAATTAGCTGCTTCTAAGTGGCAGATACCTCGGGAATGGTAAATATGCAGTCCGACTGGAAACACCAGCAGCAAGCCATTTAACAAAGCACAAAATTTAATCTTCCCTATTTACATTTAACATAGTCATTTCAACACAGCACTTAAAGCAAATACACTATGAAGTGACTCTTTCCCTTTTCCCTCAGCTCATAGAAAGAGAATTGTGCATAATTCTCTTCCCTTTCACAGCATTAAGTATCATGTTCAGAACATAAAAAAGCTTAATATTTAACATTTTTACCTATATATAGAAAACAAGCAAGTGACACAACACGACAAGCTGGCATGTTTAAACTCAAAGCCAGAATATTCTAAGAAAAAAGAGGGGGGGAGGGGTGGGGAATTTAACACTCCCATAAAGCTTGTCCAAAGACAAAAAAAAGTTACCAAAAGGATCCTCTTCACTTATCTACTTTACAGCATTTAACAGTACAAACTTCTAAACTCATGGTATCCAAATGAAGTAGTATTATTTGAGTGCTTTGTAGACAGTGTACTAAAAGGATTCATCCAACCTATTTATGCAAATCAGTTTCCTGATCTCCACAAACTAGTAAATGATAAATAATTTTTTGCTCAAACTGTTAAGATATTCATGGAATCGCATCAATAACATTTAAATTCACCAAAGAACATATTCTAAAGTAAGACAACACAAAACTCACAAAATCCAACACTGTTCTGCACTTTCAAGGTTCGAAAGAAAGCAATGTACAGGAAAGCAGATAGTCCAGTTTTCCTCAGTTGAAAAATCTGCCATAGGTAAGAAACACTGAAGGAAACTGGACAGGACAAAAGAGCACAAAACATTGATCTAGATCCACTTCTATTATAATCATAGTATCAAGCCACCTGTTGAGTGGTCACACATAGGAGAGGGAAGCAGAACAGGCTGTCTTTAAGCAATACTAAAACAAAACACAGGTCACTGATTTCGCAACTTCACCTGATTTCTCAACTGTACTAAAGGAACCAACTGTCTTAATCACAAAACCGTAAGACTGAGAAAAATCAAAGCACAGCAGTACCTTTGAAAGGGGAAGTTGTTTCTCTTTAGTTTTCTGTCATATTCTGCTTAAACAGAAAGAACATCATCTGCTGAATTTTCTCTCTTGTAGGAAAATAACTGCTGAAACCCATATATTTTTTAATGGGAAAATTTTGTTCCAGTGTAGACAGAAGTAGACTTACACACCCACTACAAAAATGGCAACTATTCCTATCACAAAATAATTGTATTTAAGCAGGTTTACTCCCTTTTCATCTATGTCAGCTGCCAAAATATCACTGAGCATATTATAACAAGTCATACCAGAAATTAGGTAACAGAAACCTTAAAGGCAATCCAAAATCAACATCTTTTTTATCAATTAGGTGTCCAAATGATCTTGCAACAAATCTCATACTGATTCACTAAGCCAATGCCACAAAATTCTGTTTAACCATCATTTGTGATCTTCCTTTACTCTTGAAATACCACATTAACACACCACAACAGCCCTAGCTGTTCATACTCCAATTTAAAGTAGTTACTCCTATAAGCACATACAGTTACTATACTGTGCCTGAGAGAGCATTCTGAGGGAAAGGAAGGAGAGAATGAGCACTGCTAAACACACATTTGTAGGCTTTAATATTCATTTTTCAGATATCATTCAGTACAGGAACAGAAAGGAGCCCAAATAAAAAATGAAATGACTCCCAAAACTGATGCAACCTTACCAAACACTTACACTGGTAACAAATTATTACATTCAATTCTTACAGCACAAAAGCTTCAAACCCAAAGCATCTAGGAGTCTCACATCAAGATGCTACTGTATAATGAATGGACAAAAGCAACAAGATTGTTGAATCATTTTAGAAACTCAACAGGTATTAATTATTTGTCTGACTAGAAGCCTTACTAGGGCATAAGGAACCAACAGGACCTGATATGCTGCAAACATAATAAACAAGATGATTCCTGCTTCAGAGCTTAACTACACATTCAAGTTGAAATACTGCACTTAGGACAATCACTCAGAGTCAACACTTTATACTGTAAATAACATAACAACTTTCTGTTTCCATGAACTATTTGACAGATGAAAAGAGAGTGGTTTGATAAGGACACATGTGTGAACCTCCAGTACTGAAGAACTCAAGCAACAAGGAATGAATATTTCACAAGTGTACTGCAGTATTAACTGCAGATACAACAAGGGGGGGGCGGGGGGGGGGGGGAACCCCACCACACCAAAATCCAAGATTTTAAAGCAAAAAGTACTACAGATTAGACTAATGCAAATTTTACAGAATAAGATCAGGTTTTCTACATGAAAGCAAATAAAAAGCAGTAAAAAAAATTAAAATCGTTATCCCACCAGAAAGCCACAATGGGAGACATACAGTAATAAGACACACTGTTCACAAACTTCCTTAGATATATGTACAGAATTTAAAGCAGTGAGTCTTTACTGAGTACGTAATTAGTCATTATCTACTTTGCTACAGGAACCTGTGTTATTTTGTTCCTTAACCCTACTATTAGAATCCCTGGAGATGCCAAAGCTGAAAAATAGGAAACAAATAACTGTAAATCACCATTTTTCAACACAATCTGGTGAAACAGAAGCTTAGAAGTAGTATCAGGCTCTAACAGATGACATCATTCATGTCAGATACATCTTTTAGAACTACCTCCTGATGATGAAATGTTTTATTGCACATATGTAACAAATCATACAAATTCTTAAGTCCTTGCTGCTGTTTCTTCATACCTACAGTAATAAGAGCTCGTAAGAATAATGCAAACCGATTACCTCACAAAGCCAAGTTTAATATGGAAGAAAAAAATATAGCGACCTGTAGAATTGGTGAGCTACACCCACTCAGCTAGGAGGAGACCATCAGCTATGTCCTGTCACTGAAAACCCAACCGTGACATTTACAGGATTTCAACAAGAGCGACACCTCGATTGTGTTGCTAAGTTCTCAAAGAAACCTGTGTCCTTCCCAAGAAACCAAGTCTCTACTAATGACCAGGCAGGCTTAAAGTAAATGTCACTCATTGCAATACTTCCCTAAGCTTGAAACAAAGCCTGAAGGAACAGGGGGGCGAAGAACACACCCGAGTTCTGAATTCCCTGGCATTCCCAGGGGAGCCGCTCCCGGCTCCCCCGGACAGCCGGGCCGGGCGCGGCCCGACGCCTCCCGCCGGGGAGGAGCCGGCGGCGGCGGACACACAGCGAGCTCCGCTTCCAGCGCGGAGACCGGCCTCCTGCGCCTCCCGAGGCCGCTCTGCGCCGGGCCGGTCCCGCCGCCCCTCACGGCCGGTCCCGCCGCCCCTCACGGCCGGTCCCGCCGCCCCTCACGGCCGGTCCCGCCGCCCCTCACGGCCGGTCCCGCCGCCCCGCCCCGCAGGCCGCGCCCCGCCGGGCGCTGCCGCCGCTCGGCCGCCGCCGCCGGCCCTGCCGGGGCTGACACGGCCGGGCCGGGCCCGCTCCGCTCCCCGCCCTCACCGCGGCCCCTCCCGCCGCGGCTGCTCGCGGTCCCTTCGTACCTTGTCCGCTTTGTCCATGGCTCCAGCTGCGCCGGGCGGCGGCTCTAATGAGGGCGGCGGAGGGCCCGGGCCGCCTCCCCCATGGCGCTGCTTCCCCCGCCGCGCTCCGCACACGCCCGGAGCGGCGCCGGCCCCGCTCGCGGTTATCACGGGAACCGGGACAGGCTACGCCACGGCGGGGCGGGACGGGCGGCGGGGAGGGACCAGCTGAGACGGAAGCCGGGCGGGCTCAGGCTGGGAACGCCTTCGCTCCCCGCTGCGGAGGGCGTTCCCCGCCCGCGTTCCGGCCGCCCGCAAACAAGCGGGGCCGTGCCACGAACGTTGCGGGAAGCCGCGGGAGTGAGCGCGGGGAGCGCCGTTCCCGCCCGGGGTCGTTCCCCGCCCGGGGCCGGCTGCGAGCGAGGCCGGCAGGTGCGATGCGGGCCCGTCTGCTCGCGGGCGGCGCCGGGGGAGGCTCCGGCCGACGGTGTCCTTGAAATTATCTGGAACACCAAGGGAAAAAAAAAAAATAAACACCCCTGTGATTGATTTAGAGGCAGAAATCTAAAAATGTCGCACCAGCGTCTGGAGTGCAGGGCTGGGCTGTGGAGCGGGTCCCGTGTGTGCAGCGGCAGCAAAGGGGGCAGATTCTGAGAGCACGGCTCGTGTGGCGTTCCTTTATTTTGCTGCCCTGCCGTAACATGCGGTGAATGGTGAGTGACGGCAGCGAAATCCGTGAGAGCGTGCGCACCGCAGGCGGGAGAACGGGCACGCGTGCGGGAGCCGGGCTGAGAGCCCGGAGCGACACCCGGTCCGGACGTGTGTGCTGCGGGATGTCCCCGCGTTTCACTGCGCCAGTAGGTCTGCCGCCTTGGGTGTAATGGAACTGAGGCATGATTTATTTACAACTTGGTTGATTCATGGCAAGGGAGAAAAAAAAAAAAAAAAAAGCAGAACTAGAATAAGTACCTTTGTGAAAGAAATATACAAAGGATATCCCAGATCAGACTCTTGAGCGCTTCCAGGTGAAATACATTATAAAAGTGTTATGTATTAATACATATAGTCAGGTTCCTGCTTGATAGAGGTTCTTCTGATGAATAAATGGCTTGCTTTTTAAAGAAACAAGTAAGAAAGCCTGAAAGTATCTGAATTTGACAGCAGTAGAAGCTATCAAGAATGTCTTGACAGACCAATCTTGCTATAGCTTCCTAGATTGAACCTTTATTTTATAATTAATATTTCCAGATTTATGATACCACATAACAATTTTTCCTATGTTATAAAAATTTTATTTATTTGATAAACCAACATAATCTATTTGTACTTTCTTTGGTGTTGCTCTTCACCATTAAAACTTCATATGTAACATATGGGATTATGAAGAGGGTTATTGCATTGCACAGCAAGATCTCATCTTGTGAACAGATGAGACAAACAGAATTGTGCAGACTGTCACTGCCTTCTGTGCTATTCCATCCACATCAGCAGGATCACCATCTAAGTGTAACTTTTGCCTAGATGTCTGCAACATTACGTATGCTCTGTGATTTAAGTTTTCGTGAGATCAAAGTACACAAAATCATAGGTCCTATTGAGTGTATGGGAAAAGGAGTGGGCCAGGTTGTAATCCCAATTAAATTGAACTTTCAGGTTTCTACTAACTTCAGTGAGGACAGTGTTTTACTACCAGTGAAGGGAGCAGGAGAGCTGCTGAGACAGAAACCTCACCTGAACCAGAGAAGCGGCAGCAGTTGTATGCTTCATATCCACTTCTGTAACCCAGAACTTTTCTTAACAAGATTAAATGGTCAGCAGAACTCACCTAAGTGTTTATAATGCTGGGAAACCATTTTAAGGTGCTAAGACAGACTAATTTGAGGTTATGAGGTTGTGTTCCCAGGGGCTTTTACACAATGGGATCTATTATTTCAACACAAGAAGTCACGAAAGTAAAACTGGGTATTAAGCTGGTTGTACACAGAGCTTTCAGCTGATGCAATTGAACAGCATTTCATCAGTAACTGATGAACTTAAATATGAGATGGAAATCTGCAGATAAATAATTATGAAACATAAGCTACCTAAACTTCATCTCACTTAAACAACAAATCTCTACTGAGAAAAATGTATTTAATTCCTAGTAGTTGAATGTGTTTTGCTTATTTGTGTGAAATTTGGTAAATTTACTTCAAAATTAATCACTTTTCATCTCCAAGTAATGTGAGAGAACTTGCCTGACTGGACAGAAAACAGTGAAAAAATCCCACTGAAACAACTGGAACAATCGTCTTCTTGTATTAGCACACCAGTGTTTCAGTGTGGAATGCAGCTTAATTTGTTCAAATTGATGCTGACCATGGAATATATATTATGACATTTGCTTAAGATAGTTGCTGTGTATTTAAAAAATAATGACTCATTATGGCAAGGCTGTCTGTTATGAAATTCTTCTTTTGTTCCCAAGATACATACCAACAGAAAGGTCACACTTGAAAGGGCTGTTATGCACACTCAAATAACAGGAATGCCGAAGATCTAAATTGGGCAGTGATTAAATAGACATCAGATCTACATGAATCTATACAATATACATAATACAGAAAGTCATGTTGGGTGACCTGAGGCGCCACTCAGGTGAAAAAAACTCAAGTCTCCCATAAAATTTAAGTGTGTTATCACAAAAAGAAAAACAAACCAAAGCACTCAGAACCAGTTATGTTAGATCTTCTATCCACAGCTATCACAAATATGCCAGGGTATCTGGTTACAACATCATCTTGATCGACTGTTGTGTAAGAGAACTCGATGATGACGTCACAGTTCTTAAGGAAGCCATCAAAAAATTCTACAAACCCTGTTGAATTTTAAAACACTTGGTAGCTGCACATGGTTGAATTTGAACATCCTTGGTAGCTGCTTTTTCATACTCAATCATAAGGGTCCAATTCTCAAATCTGGCAGTTTGTAAACAATTATTGCTACTTCTTTGCTGCAAGACCGAGTAAGTTCATAAGCAAAAACGATGGTTGAAATCAGCAGGTGCTGACTGCAATTTTGCTACTAAGTTTGTGACTTTACTGCTGCATCTACTGGGTAGTGGAGATATCCTTCCTGAACACAATGGAGGAAACAAATCAAATTAAGAAGAAAATCTAGGTCAACACTAAAATAAAAAATGGGAGACTAAACCAAAATACCTCAGCAATATGGAAAGGCACTTGGTAATGACTGTATTCAGAATTCAAATCATAGGATTACAAGCAAACCTAACAGCACACGTGTGGCTACTCACACCCTTACTTATATGGGCTGTACCCACATGTAGTGGGTACAAAGTCCTGTTGAACACAAGGATATGATTACACATCTCACTGAAGTCAAGGTAGCTTCTTATATAGAAAGGTTGAACATTTGTATAGGCTTAATGGCACTGGCATGAAAGCATGAAATAAGGGTTGCTCAGTAACCCCTCCACCTGATGTCCAGGCAGGCTCAGACTGAGCTCCACAGCAGCAGCACCACCTGAGCAGGGACTGCAGCAGCACTGGGGGAGCTGGAGGTGAGCAAGTGGAAAAGGCAGCAGGAAAAAAGCAGACTCCAAAATGAGTTTTACTGGCCTGGGACTAAAATCTTCAGCTAACTACTAAAAAAGACAAGTACACAAAGTGAAGTGTATCTTGGCAAATAAAACCGTATCTGGCGAAGGGACACGTGGTGTCCTGCACAGGCAGCCATAGCAGGGAACAGAACTGGAACCAGAGTGGGAAGGTGAGCTGGGAACTGCTCCAGGAAGCTGAAAATCCCGGTTCCAATAGCAATTCCTGCCTGGCAGCAGGCAAGGGAGCCCAGCACTGCCACCGAGAGCAGCTGCAGAGAGAGGCAGCAGAGCCAGCCAGGACTGGAGCTGCCATGCAACTCTTCCTACCACGGCCAGGAAAGGATTAGCCTCTACTCTTGCTGTAATGCTTGCACCTATTACATCTAAAATTTAGCACTACATATGCAATTATTCTATCACAGATAGTTTGCAATCCACCTTACCACACAGAGGCATTTAAGATGGTGATAATCCTTTCTTAATATCTTAATTAACATTTAAATAGTTGACTAGCTTGTAATGTAGTTTACCTAGTTCACTAACCTGGTTCTAAAATACATTTTTAGCACTTTGAAAATAATAAAGTAACAGCTACACTTTGATATTTAAATTCCATATTACCATTTATATAAATAAATTTATTTCTGTGTTTAGGCTGTATATTTGAGAAAGCAAGGGGTACTGCCCAAGTGATGTCATTTTACTGTACTCCATACATACACAGTTCCTACTCAAATTAATTCACTACCTCACAAAGAAAAAATATGAAAATACAATCCTCAGTTACAATGTTTTACAGCTAACAACTCCTGAGCAATTAAGAATTCACTTTATTTACAAACTAAAGTTCAAATAACTTCATTATATTATTCTGCTCAGTGCATTTCAGCTGCTTTGCCATTTTTCTGGGGTTTGTTGTTGTTGTTCAATGTATTTTCAGGCCTATTTAAAAGAAAAATAAATTGGCTTCAGATCCAATCCATTATAATAGGACTTTGAGATGCACAAAGAATACATTCCTTCAAAGTGTGTTTGACTAAAAATAAGAGTAAAAATCTAAAATGCAGACATAGCACCCACATGCTCCCAGATTTGCCTGTTGTTCAGTTTTAATGCATAAGCTGCCAGCAACTCAAAAAAGAAGGGTTTATATATACACATCTTAATCACTGTTGTAATCTTACATAAGATTACAACAGCCATTAAAATGTTCTTTTGCAAACAGTGTTATGGTAACTAGCTAGAATGCCAGTTTGTGTTGTACAAGCAGCCACAAGAGGTGTATAAAATCACCCAAGAAGTTGTGACAAGTGTGGATCTGACAATTAACAACAATTGCAGAAATTTAATGATTGGGCTTGAGACTGAGAATGCAGAGAGGCTGCTTACCATGCCTCAACCAACCTGCAGTGCAATGTTTCTGGGGAAAAAATATCATTCACCCTCGTCCTTCAAGTGCTTGTTCACTTTTCCTGAGGAGACAGAAAGGACATCAGAACCAGATCTACCAGGGACTACAGGCGGGCTATAGCAACTATTGGTGATTTCTGCTGCAGTTGGATGGTAACAGAGCTCCTCAGTATTTCCCCAGAGAAAATCTTCATCTTCCGGGTTAAGAATTGTGAGAACTCAGAAAAGGGGTAGAATCCCTTAGGGATTATATAAATCTTCTTTATGTGCCTAGAGCACAGATGCCAAGGCACTGTACACATGAGTAAGACCTGAAGTATGCCAAAACACACAACCATTTCTTAGAGGTAGACTGACCCTTTTTCTGTCTAAAAACACTGCTAGCCCTCACTGTACAGACTAACAGTCCTTCACTACTTAGACTAGTCCTAAAACAATTAATCCTTCAGAACAAAAAGATAAAACAACAGAACTAGATGGACATGACAAGATTTACTGCAGTATTCCCATTTCCTTCCTGAAAAAAATCCAAAAATACCAAAATGCCTCCCCAGCAGACATAGCTGGGATGGAAAAGGTTACATCAGGTACAACAGACAAAGTCAAGAAGACTTTTATTTTCAGTGATTTTAAGTTTACGGACAGTTCTATTTTTCCCCCTCCTTTAGAAGAGTTGTTCCTTCCCACAGCAAGGGTGGCAGGAAACAGCATAGAAAGGAAACCTACTCAAATAAATAGCTGTCACTGTCCCTTGTCCCCATGGGAAGGAGAACCTTGAAATAGCTGTGACAATCCCTTGTCACCATGGGAGGAAGAACCCTGCAAGATTTGCTATCCAATATAAAGTCTCTGGATCTGTTGGTAAGGGTCCCAATGACTGCGCACTGTTGTTATGTTCAACTTCACATCAGCAGGTATTACTGGAATTTTCAAAGTAAAAACTACATTACACATCACAGCATTATAAGGAAACAAAATACAAGGTGCTTTAGTCAAATGTTATATACAGATTTTACAAAAGAAAAAAAAAACTTTGCTTAAAAATTTAAATTTTACTATTAAGTAAGTAGATAAATTAAAAACACCTACTGGCAAAAAAAATACATAAGTGAAGAAGAAATTCTCACCCAAGATTCAACATCATGCTACTCATGGTACACATTAAGTTTTATGGTGTAAACACTGGGAAAAAAATCACTTGCTTTGACAGCTGCAGACCAAAATAATTTTCTAAGGGACATAACTATTCCTCAGATTGAAGTTAATTTTATCCTATTTAATTATACCCTGTTACGAATTTAAATCCTGCCCTAGAACATTGAGTATACCACACTGCCTTGCATGTATGTGATGAACATTTGTAATTTATTAGACTTTTTCATTATTTTTGAGGTGTTGTTAATTACTCTACATACACATTTTTCCATCTACTTTTACAATGTCTGTGTGTGGCACTGCTTGTGTACCATCACCCACTACTCTCTGCTTTAAATTGCATTTATGGAAAATTTGACCCTTTTTACTACATTTCTAAGACCTGCAAGAGAATTTTTCTGTCAGCTCCAATCTGCTACAGGAATAAAATTTGAAGTGGTCAACACTGCATTTATTTTTAAATGATCTGATGATCCCAAAATCTTAGTACACAAAAGGCATGTGGCTATACTGTGATAGGGAACAGCAGCTCTGAAGGGACTGCAATACATTCAAACATTTGGGTCAGAACAGATTCCACTACCAGCAAGGTCACTGCACTTGGTCAGCACTCCATACACACAGTGTCATTTTGCATACACTGAATCTGCTCAAAAACTAGGCAAAGAGAGAGAACAATCAATGTCTGCATCTCTATTCCTATGGAGCTACGTGGAAAATCTCTATTCTTGAAGTAGCAAAATAAAAACCAAGCATATCCCTGAGAAATGCCAAATACCCACCAACATAACTAGACAGGATTGATAATAGTTTGGCATCTTGAAGCTTAAAGTTAGTTAGCAAGACTG